CCATTCTGCACAATCCCATTTATGGGTTTGTATATTTGGACAAGGATGAGATACTTAGATTCTTTGACCCAACAGAAGCGCACAAGTATTCATCGGAGACATTGGACTGGATATTCAAGTGTATCGTGGCAGAGGTGGATAAAAGATACTACAGGGTTGGTGAAGTGTCATCTCTCTTGGACGCAATCAGAGCACAAATCAGCTTCAGAGAGTTCATCTTCGACGTCTACAGAACTATAAAGTCAGATTTTGTTTATGCGGTAGACGATTTCCCAGAGTCTCAAGTCTGATTCTCTTTTGTCCCAGGATCGTGCCTATGTTTCAATTTTTGTCGTTCAAGTTTTGTAATTCTTTACATTTGTAATTTTTTACATTGTAACTCTTTACATTGTAATTCTTTACTCTATAATTCTTTTCATCTTAATTATTTCAGAGGATGATGCTTAATCACTTCTTGTAATTTTAATTCAATTAAGTCATACACTTGCACCCAAAGTTCATAGTTTACTTTTTCATACTTAGGGGGAGATTGTTAGCTCTCAGTTTCTTAAATGTAAAAGTATAGAAAAAGTAAAACTGCAAGTATTGACAGAAGATGATATGTCACAGAAGACCACAGAGGACCAACAGCAAAAGATGCACAAGTTACAAGTCTCAAATGACAGAACCTCTGTCGTGTCTCACAGAGGTTCTGGAACTGGTCCTCTGACATGACAATACTACAAGACTTAGTCGACAGAACCTATGTCGTGTCTCACAGAGGTTTTGGAAGATTTCCTCTACGTACTTCCAAGTTTCATCTATCAGAGTCTCTGTGTTGTCTAACAGAGGGTCTGCAGCAATGTCTTCTGTGAAGATTATCTTTAAGCTGTTTTACTTAGGTCTTTTAGCTGCTCGTGCTTATCACGTGTTCTTGTCTGTAATTTGTTTTGATCGAACGGCTTAGATTTATTTACTTTAGGTCGTGTCAGAAAAACGGTTATTTGCTTGTATAAATAGCAACGTAGGCCTTTGTAATTCAGTGTGCTTCCAGTATTGTAATTGTCAATATTTTCATCAATTGAAAATCCTTTGAAGCTTTCTCCTGTGTTCATCAKYAAYCTTCATYGTGTTCTTATCGATTTCTACTTGTTTGATTTATCATCTTTTCCGCTGCATTATATCTGTCAAACCAATCATTCARGTAAGTAATCTTAACCAAGAAATAGAGTTATTCGGTCCTAACATCCATTGTTCATTTCAGGTACAACATCCTTGGATGATTTTTGGTAGTGTTAAAGTTAAAAGGATGTAGGCCCTCCTTCTATTTTTTAACCCAAACACTTTTCCCTTTGCGCCCAACCTGTACCGTTTTGGTCCCTTTGGCAACAATGGGGACATTGTACATATTAAGTTTGGGGGGATGTGTTTAAGAAAAAAAATATACCTTCGAAAAATTGGGAGGTATGAAAAAAAAGAGAAGAAAAGAAAATAAAACAAAAAAATAGAAGAATCGGTCTTCGGAAAATTGGAAGACAAATAAAAAGCCCGGTTATCCAAAAGGGCAAGTTTATGCCAAGAAATGGGTCACGAACTTTTTCCAAGTACTCAAAAGTGAATCAATGAGAACTTATGTTTCAAACCCTTTTGTAGTATAGGATAAGTTTGGGGGAGGGATACACGTTGTCATTGCCAAAAACACTAACCCTAAAGCCCTACTGATTAATGGCAACACTACGAAGATCAAGCAAGGAAGTTGTACATCCTCTTCGCTAGACAAATTCCCAACATCTTCTGTAAGTTTTGTTCTTGTTCCTTTCTTTAGTTGTCTTTTTATTTATTTTCTTTTACTTGAGGACAAGTAATACCTCAAGTTTGGGGGTGTGATAACTCTCATTTTGTGAGAGTTATTTGTTGTTCAATACCCCTATTTTATTGTATCTTTGGTACCCATTTTGCTCCTATCTTGTATTTTTGGTCCAAAATATGTTAAGAGGTGATGAAAGGTCAAGAATTTAATTATTTTCTAAAAAAACCCATTACTGTTGGTAAACTGCCCAGTTTCTGCTCGCATTCATCCTATGGCATATTTTCATCAAGTTGGATTTGAACAAAATGCAAATACGAACTCTCTTGAGTTTTAATGGGATCTAATTCTGAGTTCAGATCAAAACATTGAGTTACTTGGAAGAATGGGCTTGGTTGAGCTATAAAAAGACAATAAAGTACTCCTACCATTATTTTGATGTAAAAGCCTTCTTTTCATAATTTTAATGGTTAGAGTACTTTACCTTTTGCAACATTTCAAGAAGAAGTGACAAGGCTAGAGATATAGTAGACATGTGGTGATGGGAGGTCCTTACCCTTTGGACAATGCAGATTTTCGTCCTTTGGGTAAATGGTTTGTCCGGTCCTCACCTTTTCCTATATTTTGAAAACTTTCTCTCATTTGGAAGGCATCCATTCCATCAACAATTTAGTTAAGCAACCTTGGAGTATTCTCTCAAGCTCTACACCAGAAGAGCAAGTTTAATTTATGCTTGTAATTTTATTTTCGTAGTTAATCTCTAATTCTCGCCACTGTGTATTGTATGCCCTCTGTGGGCAACAGTTTAAGTATTAATTTCAGTTCAAGTATTTCTTATGCATTTTTCTTCTTCTATTTCTGTTATGTTTTCTAATTTCATTATGAGCTAAGCACCCCTTCGGGTGTGGGTGTGAGTCAAGCTTAAGAATTTAAAGGCACACTTGGGTGTTGCCATTTT